GTAGGTGTGAATGTGAGTGTGCTTGGTTGTCTGTCTCTAAGTGTAGCCCTGTGATAGACTGGTGACCTGTCCAGTGTGTCCCCTGCCTTCACCTTAAGTCAGGTGGGACAGACTTCAGCCCCCCGCGACCCTAGTGAGGATTAAGGTGTATAGATAATGGATGGATGGATGGATACTTTACAAAGATTTCTTTACAGTTTTCATTTTTGATTCTTTATCTTATATAATTTTGCACTAGAAAATAGGTCAATTTTCAATCAGTGAATATGCATGTGAGTGCAGCCAAAACTACACTTTCCAGCCTTTCACACTTACATGAAACCTCCCGGTGTCTGCTCTGGCTTGAGCCAAGGTGCAGGGACAGTCTATGATCTCATTGAGGAAGTTGGGCAGCTCTTCTTCCAGCAGGTCCCATGCTAAACATTTCTCCAGGGCCCAAGCTGCCGAGTCCTGCCTGAATTTCTCCTCCAGATGCCAGGCCAGAGCGTGATCCTCAGTCCAAGCAGCTTGGACATTCCTACAGCCAAACACTTGGAAATTATTGTGTTTTTATTTCATTTTGCAGCTAACCCATTAAAATCTTTGGATCTTGGTGAAGTCATATTGAACAGCAACAACAATCATCTTTATTGCAGTCATCTTTACACACCACGTGCCATCAGGGTAGGTACTGGGGCTGACGCGCACAGATCCCAGCTCCCAGCTTGAAAATCCGTTCCCTGCTGGTTTGGGCACAAAGCTGAAGGAGCCGCTGTTGGGTTGATGCTTTGCAAGTGAGTACAGATACTCCCATCTACCCTGCCAGTTGTCTGAATAGGGCTCCCCTACAGAGGAATATTTTATACATTTCATCGTTCTCTCCAAATAACAGTGATCTGTGAAGTGCAGGTGCATTTTTACTAACCTGTCTCCTTGTATCCCCAGAGCTCGATGTTGACCCTATCGGCTCTGACTAAAGAGGTATTCCAGGTCATCTCAAGACTGCCTCCAACATTAGGTGTGCCATAATACTGCCATTTGGTTGAGTTGACCAGATTCGCCTTGAATTTGGGATCGACTTTGCCGCTGTGAACTGCAGCAGCACATGTTGGTTATAAATTAATCATCACTTCACTCGTCATTTCAACACCAGATGGAAAACTTTGTGTTCCAACAATTTAAGGAAAGGTTTTAATGTGATCCTCATGAGAATAATTGCATGCAGTTGAAGTACCTGAGAGCCAGGATCCAACTCTGTCGAACCTCATGCCGTGATCTGAGATGTGCAAAGAAACCCATCCTGTTTCATATAACAAAGGGGAGATGCAATGGCCTCTACTTGTGTCATCCACATATCCCAAAGTATCGATACTATCGTCGAACCTGCCAATAAAGAAAGACCAGCAGGTTTATTTACACTACACAGAAACAGTGGTTTACAAAATCAAAATCTTAATTCACTTAATCCAGAGCTTTGGAGTGTGATCAAAGCTCTAAAGCCTGAAGAGCTGAAATTAAAATGGTTTCTCAAGTTTTAAACAGATTATTGTGACGCATTTAACATTAATCAACCAGGTTTGGAAAAAGCATTGGACTCATTAAATATATATTTATACTTTTAACTTTTCCAGAACTGTGTTGGTATTTGCTGTTGTCATGATTTCTCACATGTTTATCTGTGTGGTTGTTGTACTGAAACCAAAGTGACCAAGTAGGGTCGTAAAGACTGAACTGAACTGAAATAAACAAAACTCAACTCAACATGTAAACAACACTGAGGTGTAAAATGATGTCTTACCTGCATATAATCTGAGAACTCTGATTGAAAGTTGCATCAAGGACAACAAAATCTGTTCCACCAAAAATGGTCCCAGAATATGGAAAGGTATTCACGCAGTACTCTCTATAATCTGTGCAGCAGGTCTTCAGAGATGTACATGTGGGCTCGCATGAACACGCGCCTAAATCAATATCACAGAATCCTTGACATGACTGTCCTGTTCAAAACGAGGAGAGAGGGATATTAAGTCCAGAATCCTGAGTGTCCCACTGGTTTGAAACTGATAGATTAAGTGTTTTATTAAACACTGAGTTAAATCAATAAATATATATATATATACAATTTATTATTCTTTTTAAAATGTCTTTTGAATGTTTTCTCTCATTGCTATCATTGTCATATTTGCAACGCAAGTCAAAGACAGTGCTATAAACCTTCAGTTTACTCATCACTAAATCACAGTCAGAAATCAAATCAATTACAAACCACATGATGATTAATTATGTAAAAAGTTGTGGCTGCTTACCTAAAGTCCTGCAGATACATGAAACCAGAAGGACAAATATTACTGCTTTGAATCTTTCCATCACAGCAGAGTCGACCAACGCTGCTGCTGCACACTCTTGACTGCTACTACAGTTTATTATTATTTGTATATGCGCTTCATTTCCCTGAACCTTGGACCTTTGATTACCTGCATATGAAAAAAATCAGTTGAACCTTCAACCAGCGATCATTATAAAACCACCTCAGCACTCTATCGCAGGGCTACACTTAGAGATAGACAACCACGCACCCTGGACTGTTGGAGGAGCGCAGACAACCCGGAGACAACCCGGAGAGAACCCACGCTGCATGGGGAGAACATGCAAACTCCACACAGAAAGATGCCGGGTGTCCTCGTCTGATGCAAACCAGCGACCTTCTTCCTGCGAGG